CCCCAGGCACGGGACACACGATGGATATCGTCGCTTACAATCACGAACTGTCAAAACTCTCATTGTTGAAGTGGTGACTTTGAAAGCACCTACGAGGTTAACAGGCGTCCTGCGTCTGCGGTAGCAGTAGCAGTAGGAAAAGACAAGAATCAGCTAAAGGCTGGTTTCGTCCTCCCCGAGCTCCTGTCGCGTTCGAGTAACTGAAGCCAGAAGGTTGCGTGATCAAATTACGTTCTCACGAACAACGCCAAACGGTATTTTAGGAATCCTATGCAATAAAAGCAATAAAAAAATCCAGTGGATCGATAAGGCTAATATTGACATACGTCGAACAACCTTAATGTCAGCATCGCGGTGGTTGACATGCAGAAGTGAGTCCGTTACGTTAAAACAAACAGTTTAAACAAGGAAATATCACGAGATTGTCAGAGGTGATTTATCCTAGTAGGTCAGCACAACTACACAGGCCTGGAGGACACCTATCAAAGACCTCGCTTTTCGGAGCCCGCATCTTAGTCTAAATGTTTGTGTGTAAATGATCTGGAATGGAGCTTTTTGGCTGGTTTGAGCGTTAAAGCACGAAGCACTTAAGCACCGCAAAAGTAAGCTTACCTTTTATTGACGTGTCGCCGTGCTCTTAAATATGCTGCTTTGTCTATCTACGTAATCCTGTCTGGTGAAGGACAATTGCGAGGAGATGCGAAGGATAGACGCCAAGCGTAAAAACAATTCCAGTGCCAGATTTTGTCGACTCATTTATGTTTTGCGTCTCCGTCTCCGTCTCCTTCTCTGACTACAATCCTCTCCTCGGCGCCGTTTCACCTTGTCGCAGACCGTGGGGCCTTTGTAGCAGGTTCTTATTGCCGTGGTTGTCATGTCCTCTCTAGGTCAACTGACCGTTCCACGGCTTCCTTCCTCGCTCTCTTCACAGATGAATGTGTGCGTATGTGCGTGCTTGCTTGCTTGCTTGCACAAGAACTGCATTCTAGTGTGGTTTCCATTAGCAACAGCGAATCCCTGTTGTCCCCATTGTCTCGCCGATGCCTGCTGGCGTTGCTAAGCCAACACCTTTCATGCGGTAGCAGTTCTACCAATTCAGCAGCTGTATTGTTAATTTGCCGGAGGAATAACTCTCCCCCAGTAGTCGCCTGGATCCACGCTGCAGTAACCCGACATACCCGCAGCCAGCGAGTGGTGTCACTTCGCCCTGCCTCTGTGCACACTCGTGAGTCATCCTTGCATATTCCGTCTGTTTTTTAGCATTCAACTAGCAATCTTGTTACC